TCACATATTTGAATCGATTTTCAACCGGCTCGCGGTTAATCGTTACATCCCTAATAATTTCGTAAATCGCTTCAACAATTATGAACAAAACGGCATCACGTATTTATGCGTTGCTTAATACAAAGAGCCGAATCGCCCATCACACAGATTGCCTTTAAAAACATGAGATGCAGTGAAAGTGATGCAGTGTCCGTCTAAAAAAATGCGTTGAATATGCGTTCTGTGTGAATGGCTTGGTTTCGGTTTTAACCTAACAAATGAGATCACTGAGGACCTCAGAAAAAGAGTTGGTGTTGCTAGAAAAGGTTTCAAAGCCATCTCTAAAGAGTTTGGACTCCACCAAAATGCAGCAAGACTACGACTCCAAGCACACAAGTCGTTCAACCAAAGAATGGTTAAAGAAGAACGACGTTAATGTTTTTGAATGACTGAGTCAAATTCTGGACCTTAATCCAATTGAAATTTTGTACTGATGAGCTTTGTAAAAATTGACGCGTTTCAGAAAGGCGGGGCATAGAGGAGAAACAATAATGTACATTGTGGAAAATAATGCCGCATAAACACTTTGCATTACACCAAATACATGAAATAATGTTCTTTTTAGCAACATCATATGACCCCTTTAACACCGGATAATTTTTCTAAGTACAAAGTATATATTTTTGTCTCCTTTGTTTGATTGGTTTCTCTTTGTCTGCTTTCAGGATTTGTGTGAAAATCTAATTGTTTTGGGTCATATTTATGCAGAAATATAGACAATTCTAAAGGGTTTACAAACTTTCAAGCAGCACTGTATATTAATATATGTTTTTATAATAGATGTGTAATATTATTATGTCTCTCACATTTAAGGCTACACCTGTGGCTGTGAAACGGTCAATCACTTTTAGGAAAATTGCACCCAGAAAAACTCAGGTATTTCTAACAAACTCTACCCAGTTTTTTTTTTTGGACTCTACCAAAAATACACAATGTTGTCCTTTAGGCCCTGTCTGACAGTAACAAGGAGAATGTGGAAAGATTATCTGAAGTGCCGACAAAGCTGTCCAGAGTCTTGACATCGTCCCCAGCTGTGGCAACAGTGCCCAAGGCAGCTGTCCTCTCGCCCATCCTGCCTACTTCATCTCCATCTTCTCAGCCCAAAGAATCGGAGCAGGACCCTGTTTGGTCCCAAAAAGTGCGACGCTCTTACAGTCGCTTGAGTATGGGGGAGAAGTCCTTTGAAATCCCCAAATCCCATCATGCACCTTCCACTTCTCCCAACAACCGAGAGACCCTGTTTGGTTTTGAGAGGCTTCAGACTCCAGAGGTGATGCGCAAAACTGAGGGATCTAGAGTAGCTCCTCTGGGCTCTATGTCCATCTCACTGGGTTCTTTCAACATCTCCGCTGCTGAAGACAGCACGTCAAACCCACCAGAAATTGATCCAAACATCCCGGGTGTGTGTCTGGGGAAGAAGACAACCAGGCGGAAACGCGTACAACAGATAAAGGTGAGAGTGAGTCGGGGAAGAAGAAGAGTGTGTAAAATGGAAATTTGCTAACAATGCACTCAGTCTCAAGCCATCCAAGATGTAGATGAATGTTTCTTCATCAGAACAGATTTGGAGAAATGTATCATTACATCACTTGCTCACCAATGGATCCTCTGCAGTGAATGGGTGCCACCAAACAGCTGATAAAAACATCACAATAATCCACAAGTAATCCACAAAACTCCAGTCCATCAATTAATGTCTTGTGAAGTGAGAAGCTTTGTGTTTGTAAGAAACCGATCCATCTAGAAGACGTTTTTAACTTCAAACTGTTACTTCTGACCAAAAAAACGAGTCCTCTATCAGTGATATTCATTTCTCCAGTGAAAAAGTCATCTTGTCTGAATCAGGAGAATGCAAATATGCATAGATCATGTACTTCTGTCAAGCAAAAATGGTCCAGAGCAGTTCTAAACAAACATGTTGGCAGATTTTGATGTGAGAGGACAACACCAGAGAAAGTGTTATTATGAACTATAGACTCAGAAGTAGTGGTTTATAGAGAAAATGCCTGAACACTGGATTTATTTATTTCAAACATGCAGATTTTCACTTCACGAGATGTTAATTGATGGACTGGAGTGGTGTAAATTGCTTGTGGATTATGGTGATGTTTCTATCAGCTTTGAGTTCTAATTCTGATGGCACCCATTCACTGCAGAGGATCCATTGTGATATAATGCAAAATTCCTCCAAATCTTATCTACATGTTGGATGGGCCGAGGGTGAGTAAATGTTCAGCAAAATGTAATTATTGAAAATATATATATATTTTTTAGAAATTGTAAAAAAAAAAAAAAAAAACAGTTCCAAAAGGGAGTTTTTGCAGTGATGCCATAAAGAACCATTTTGGTTCCCCAAAGAACCTTTCAGTGAACAGTTCTTAAAAGAATGAATTTTGTTTCTTAGTGTGAAGAATGTTTTAATAATCTAAAGAACCTTTTTCACTATAAAAAAGCTTTTGTGTAATGGACAGATTCCATGGATGTTGAAAGCACGTATAAAGAATCTTTAATAGTGTACCGTAATTTCTACTTCAAGTGGAATTGCATAAATGAATTTCAAACAGGGTTGCCTCATTAAATGCTTCTTGTTTATTTACTTAGATTGGTTTTAATTTTTCTCCTGCTCTTTCAGATGTCAGAGTTGGACAATCTTGCAGCAAAGATGAATGCTGAGTTTGAGGAAGCCGAAAGTTTTGAACTGGTTGTTGAATGAAATTTCTAAAGTGCCCCACACGTTCAGGACATTTTCAGGACACGTCAGACTTTTCAACTTATTACTTTTATTATTGTTCATTATGCTTACTGCCCTCTGTTTCTTCCTGCTTGCAAAATCTTAACTAAAAGCATGTTTTAAGAGATCAAGCTGTTTTGTTGTTCTGATCATTTTTCACAATGTCACAATCATCAGTAAATCTCTAAATGACAATGTTGAAAAACATGTTGGTCTTTCTTTGGTTATTTCAGTGTTTGTTTTTTTTTCATATTTGATGAATCAGTTTTGTTAAAAACTTTTGTTCTTTTATTAAATAGTGTTTTGGAGTAGTAGCCTGTCAAAGTTGAAAGTGTGCATCCTGTTGTTAAAAGTTTCAAGTATTTTTTCCTATGATAAAATGTCGGCAGAAGGGATGATCACTGGTATAATATGTAATACTCTTTTCATATTACCTATATTAATAAATCCTGTCTGGCTAAATTACACGTTTAAAAAATGTATTTTGGTCTTTTTAAATTATTGATTAATTGAGCTATAGATATTTTAAATGTTTTAAAATATTTTTTTTTATGGGAACCGAATACTAACAGAAATCAGTGCGTTGAGCAATCATTGCTGCATGTTGTGATTTCACCACTAGAGTGAGCACTTGATCATCATAGTATTCATATGTGCATCTATTGTTTACTCTGTTCCAACATGGTTCCAGAACATTTGTTTTGTGGTATGCAGTGTGATCAGCATGTCAACACAATCTGTAGTGGATCAGTGCATGCTAAGGAGTCTGTGAGAGACTGATGTGGGGCCTGTACCATGAAGCCGGATTAGCTGGCTAGCCAGGTAAATTTCAGTTTTTATTACATTATTTTCATGTCCACTATAATGGACAACAGGACTGAAGAAAAAAAAAAATCCACATATATTAACCATACATAAGTAGAGCTTGAGCACTATAGTTGAACTAGTGTTTAAGATTTTGAAAAAAACACATACTATAAGAATGAACAATGCAGTAAGAATGTGGGGAAAAAAGGTAAGATGATATGAAGTCTCAAAAAAACCTGTTTGATCCTTTTTGTTGGTTGAAGTGGGTGAATCTGAGTATATGTATAAATGTCTTTGTGTGTATGTGAATGGGTTTATGTGGCAGGTTATGGGGTTAGAGATCTCAAACTGAAATTGTACCAATCAGATCTGAGCAAAGTGACATGTCTGACGCAAAAAAAAGTCACTCCCCCAGTTTCTCTTTCTCCAATTTAAAGGTCACTATATAGTACCAATAAAATAAAAAATCCTGTGTTCTGCAACTCTGAAAGATCTTCAAAATAACTTTGAATATTATCATTTGGCATTAATTTTATAATAGGTGCAAGTTGATGAGGCTACCATAAACATAAATCTGCATATAAAAGGTCAAATGAGGACTTCCTCCTCTTGTTGTCTGGTTGGTTAGTCATGTCTCTCTTTTGTGATGCCTGTAGCTCAGTCAGATTAAGTTAGGAGTCATATCTTCACCTGGTCTGATTTTATAATTGTGAGACCAAAGATTTCTTGTAATCAAGCAACTAAACGTGATTCACTTGCACACGTGTATCTTGTTTAGGTAGGCATTTGTGTCAGTTATCTTGCCTGCAAACTTCACCTAGCCTAGGTTGTTAAACAATGATGGGGTGAATACTTATCAGTTTCTTTATATTTGTATATTTCATTTTAAAATGACAGAGAATTACACTGGGACAGAAAAATCCAATATGGCACTACAGCACAGAAGTACAAAAATAATCAATGAGGGGTGAATAGTTCCTGAAGACACGTTGGCAATGAATTCACATACTGTAATGTCCTTGTGTGAATTCTGGTATTATATAATATGAGGAAGTTGATAGGAAATTATCATCCTTGTATGGCTTTTCATTTAGGACTCAGCTGTGATTTGGGTCTGTGTCTATTTGTTCTTTTTCTGAAGGTTAAATTTCATTCCAGGTTGACATTGATTATGGTTGGGTGCCTGACCAGTGTTACATAATTGATCATTGATGGTTTCTAGCATGGAATGGAATGAACAAATACATACCTACCCACAAACCCTGGAGATGCCCTTACAGTTTCATAGTTTTTTTTTTCATCTATGGCATCAGTGCTGTAATTAGGATGGCTCACATAGTTAAATGGTGGCATGGATGGTGAGGGCAAACATGTGCCTGTGAACGTGTATTATGATTAATGTTGTAAATTCAAATTGATTCTCAATGATTCCATTCTCAGACTGAATCATCAGCCCTGTTGCATTAACATATGCATCAATAGTGATGACAGATACAAGCCCAGGCCTGAAGCAAAGGAAACCGTGAACCATAGTGCAATATGTATATGTCAAGTTACTAATTTATCAGTGTTTTATTAAAACGGCAAAAAATATGTACAAGGTCAAATTAAAAGATGAGACTCACTTGGTGAAAAATTTATTTATACTTATATATGATTTCTAAAGACCTAAAAGCATAATTGAAAAACATTATGCATGCAGCTTATTTTATCTGATGGCCCCCAAAATTAAAAGAGGCAGCCACTAGTGCCTACCATGGAAAATAATCTCCCCTTCAAACGTTATTTTAGCTGTGAATTGATGTTATTGTCATTGCTGCGCAAATTTGCCATGGGCACTTCAGACAATGAGATAGGAATTATTGACATCTGGTGCTCGCACTGTGCTGATGACTGTTGGAAAATCAGCCATGTCAGATAAAAGGGACGGATAGACATGGATAGAAAAGTTGTGAAAATGCCAGAGCTCTCATCTCTCTTGAACCCTTCAAGAAAGCAACATTTGTTTGCTCAAAGTTGCATTTGTTTGAAATTAAGAATTGAAATTGTGCTTTTAAATTGATATTACAAAATATTTATTTTTCTTTAATCCTTTGAGGAGGTCTGGATTCTTTTCTCTCTTTTGAACATTTTGCGGTAAGATATTGCAATATCACATAGCTAACTTGTAACGGTTTCTATTTTATGTTAATTTAAAAAATATGAGGTATGTTTTACAATTTTGTCTGACACCTGTAAGTATTTTCTTTTAATTCCTGTTTATATTTCTTAGATCAAGTATACTGTATATTATATAAACCCATTTGTTTAGATCTAAAATCTAAATGCCAATTTATAAAATGTCAGTAATTCAGTCAGATATTCCATGCTTTACCACGTGCACAATTTGTTTGTTGCTTTGTAACTGGCAATACATATTTTTACATTTTAAATTACCACTACCAAATTTTACTATATCTATTATGTATTCCCACAGTACTTTCCATTACACTTTTGGATTATTTGTTGCTCAGGAAACAAGCAGTTGTACAAAGCAAGAACAATTTAATTCAATTAAATTCTCTTTCTGAGGAGAAGCAAGAATATAGACAATGGCTCATCATCAGATACATCACCATAGTCAACACCATCATCATCACCAGCATCGCCACTCGTCTCATCGTCACCAACATCACCATCGTGGTGCACACCTTCCAGAGGAAAATGAGGATAAAAGGTAATAAAAATATATATATTTGTAAGAAAAGAAAGCATTTTTAAAATGTATATATAAATATAAACATTCACAATGTATATACAAATGGTTGTTATCTTGAAGCACAAAAACTTAGCAATATTAGAAACAACAGTACATTCTTAAAGCTGCATTCCGTTCTTTCTTTGGTTAAAAATTATCCAAGATCAATTACTGAGCATGTACATGATCAATCAGTGTTCAAAACGATCTCCTACCTTCAACAATTCATAATGGTAAGCTTGTAATAATGTTTTCCAAGTTTGCCGCTATTCGTCATTTTTCGTCACGTCTGTATATATAAAGGAGTCCCGGCTAGTAGGCTATATTGGATGTGTGAATGCTGGCAGGTGGCGGATCATTTGTAGCCTCTTCTTACAGCAGCTGGAATAATTAAACTTGTCATTTTAGAATGAGTTTTTAGGAAATTGATTAAATTGCTTTTTTAGGTTAAAAGAACAATTTCTTTCGATGACATTTGATGACAATTAGGTATTAGATTATACAGAAATTGAAATCTACAGATAACACTAAAACACACTAAATATGTAGTCACACAATGCTGATGTTGTTACCATTAACAATTTGAGAACAAAGTATAACAATAATAATAATTTGCACTGTTTGACGTGATCTGAGCTAAATTTGCGATTGTTAGATTTAATCACCATTGGTAGCACAATTTATTGGAAAACTTTTTTTTTCTTTTTTCAGTTGGTCAGAACAAAACTGGCAGACATGTTACTTACTTTTCAGATGATATTTTCCAGCGAAACTTCTTATTTTGGACATACTTCCAAGACGTAGTATCTGTAATTCCGAAGTACAGTGAATGTCCACACTGATGAGTTGACTGACAGCCATCACATACACCTTAAAACATTAGATACAGCTGCGCTGAGGAGCCGTACTGATGCACAACCCACGCAAAGATGATAATTCCACAAATAACTGCAACTGCAGGTTTCGATCATGGCGACAAAGAGGCAAAACTTACAGACTGCAGCTTTAAGAAAATGTGTGCTGTTGCTAAACAGTTGCTAAGGTATTCAGGGTGGTTTCTAGGGCTTTGCTAGGTTGTTGCTAGGGTCTCCTGAGTGGTTGTTGACTAGCCCAAATCAAAAGAAAGCACATGGTTTTAGGTATCATTCATGTCTATGTAACCCCTCTGGTTCTACTCGCCACACACCAAACAGCATTTAAGCTGGTGTATCCAGCATGGGAGGTGGGCACACTAACAAGGTTGGTAAAGACCACAAGCTCTAGCGTTAGTCGTTACTGTGCCTCTTGAGATCAGGGGAGTGAAGTTTACCTGCACAGCTCTTACTAGCTGGCCTCTTTTACACTCACCCCCTTAAACCTCACCTCCATCCAGGTCACGCCACCAACGCAACCCCTACGGTTCTATTTGACCATGGGATTCCAACTGGAGTTTCCGGCATGGGAGGTGGGCACGCCAACAAAGACGCAAAAGACTGCAGCCTCTAGTGTCAGTTGCTAGTGCCCCTTTTGAAATCAGAGGAGTGAGGTTTACTCTTACTAGCTGGCCTCCATTACATCTACAGCACAAATGAGTGTGGAATGAATTTATACATAAGTAATGGGGTTTTAATAAGTAATAGTAGTAGTAACTAATAATTAGTACCTTAGTAAG